TGATGGACATTTAGGTTGTTCGCATGTCCTGGCTATGTACTGCTTTTGTGAACACTGGAGTGCATGTATCTTCAAATTTGAGTTCCCTCCAGATATATACCCAGGAGTGAGATTGCTGGATCATATGGTAAGTCTGTTTTCAGTCTTTTGAGGAATCTCCATACTGTTTTCCATATTGGCTGCACCAAACTACATTCCCACCAGCAGTGTAAGAGGGTTAGCTTTTCTCCACACCCTCTCCGGCATTTATTGTTTGTGGACTTTTGAATGATGGCCATTCTGACTGGTGTGAGGTGATACTTCATTGTAATTTTGACTTGCATTTCTCTGATAATTAGTGATATTGAGTATTTTTTCATGTGCCTATTGGCCATTGGTATATCTTCATAGGAGAATTGCTTGTCTAGGTCTTCTGTCCATTTTTGGATAGAGTTGTTTGGTTTTTGTTATTAAGTTGTATGAGCTGTTTTTATATTCTGGAAATTAAGCCCTTGTCAGTCTCATCATTTGCAAATATTGTCTCCCATTCTGTAGGTTGTCTTTTTGCTTCGCTTATGACTTCCTTTGCTGTGCAAAAGCTTGTAAGTTTTGTTAGGTCCCGTTCATTACTTCTTGCTCTTATTTCTATTGCCTGTGCAGACTGCCCTGGGAGAATACTGCTAAGATTTATGTCAGAGATATTTTGCCTGCGTTTTCTTCTAGGAGATTTATCATGTCTTGTCTTATATCTAAGTCTTTAAGCCATTTTGAGTTTATTTTTGTGTTTGGAGTGAGGGAGTGTTCTGACTTCATTTATTTACATGCTGCTGTCCAGTTTTCCCAGTACCATTTGCTGAAGAGACAGTCTTTTCTCCGTTGTATATTCTTGCCTCCTTTGTTGAAGACTAATTGACCATAGGTATGTGGACTTGTTTCTGGGCTCTCTATTCTGTTCTACTGAGCCCAATATCATGCTATTTTGACTACTGTAGTTCTGTAGTATTGTCTGAAGTCTGGGAGGGTATTCCTCCAGGTTTGTTCTTTTTCTTCAGTAATGCTTTGGCAATTCCGGATGTTTTGTGGTTCCATATAAATTTTAGGATTATTGGTTCTAGTTCTGTGAAAAATGTCCTTGGTAATTTGTTAGGGATAGCATTAACTTGGTAGATTGCTTTGGGTAGTACAGCCAATATTAACAATATTTATTCTTACAATCCAAGAGCATGGGCTATCTTTCCATTTTTTTTAGTCATCTTTAATTTCCTTAATTAATGTTTTGTAGTTTGCATATAAGTCTTTAACCTCCTTCGTGAGATTTATTCCTAAGTATTTTATTTTTTTGGATGCAATTTTAAAAGGGATCATTTCTTTACTTTCCTTTTCTGATACTTAATTGCTAGTGTAAAGAAATGCAACTGATTTCTGTATGTTAATCTTGTATCCTGCTACCTTGCCAAATTCTTTTATTAGCTCTAGAAGTTTTTATGTGGCGCCTTTAGGGTTTTTGATATACAGTTTCATGTCATCCACATACAGTGACAATTTTACCTCTTCTGATTTGGATCCCTTTTATTTTTCTTGTCTGACTGCTATGGCTAGGACTTCCAATACTGTATTGAACAGAAGTGGTGAGAATGGACATCCTTGTCTTATTCCAGATTTTAGTGGGAGGGCTTTCAGCTTTTCACCATTGAGTATTATGTTCTCCTCAATTACTGTTATGAGTAATTTGATTTCACTGATCAGCTAGCTAAATCAAAATAACAGCCAAATGTAAGTGGCTAATATTTTATTGAATTTACTGATACAATAAAACTAAGTCAGTTGTACATGTAAAATGCACTGGCTGAATATCAAATATGGGTAAATTACGTAGCAGCAAGATCTGTGAAAACTTTATGTTGAAAACCGTAAGTATAATTCCTGCGTTTATTAGGACCATTTGAGTGACAGTGGTAAATTAAACACAACTTGACAAAGAAGCTGGAATTACCAATGTTTATTTTTCTTGCAGATCTGATCATGACATAGTTCTTACAAGTCCATGTTCTTTATGCTCAGATTAGACTTATTAACTAAATCATTATCTCTTACTACAAACATCAGTTTAATTTTTTCTAGCTTGAGGATGGGATTAATAAAATTTTTTCCTTTCATAAAGAGGGTATAAAGAAAAGCCTTGTTCTGTCATTTCCAACAACTACTTTTCTAAGTATGGAAGAGTAGAGGAGGAAATATTAAGGCCACCTCTATACCCCGCTTTACAGAAGAAGAAAGCGAAGCCCAAAGAGCAGTACTGATGTACTCAGCTTTAAGGAAACAGAGAAAGGGTTAGAATCCTGACAGTCCAAGACTGCTGCATTTCACACAGGAACATATTTTTTAATCAAATATCTGTGGGGCATTTTTGTTTGTAGTTGTTACAGAAAACTCACGTTAAACATGACCAAAGCAGAAGTCAACATCTTCCCTGAAAATGAGCCTTTCCTCTTTTAATTCGTAATTCCATCAGGGACATCATCGTCTCTGTCCTTTGTACCACGTACCTGGGAATTACCCCCTACCTCTCCCTCTCCCTGCGTCCCCAGCCAATCAGCAGGTAGACTGGATTGGTATTTTTTAACTTCATTCTAATTGATTTCCTTCCATTCATGACCCTTTGCCTTTCTCGTTTATCTGGCAAGGATCCCGACTCTTCGGTGTGTTATTAAGGGTCCTCTCTTATGTGGCCCCCACCTCTCCAGCCACCCTCTCCTCAGTTCCTGCCTGCTCAGTGCTGGTAGGAATGCACCGTTCCTTCTGCTGCTTATAACTGGAATCTCTCCATCCGTTATGATCAGGCAAAAGCAACTTATTAAGACTCACATTAATCATTATTATTGAATACCAGACCAACATCTGCTAATGGATAGGAATTGTATGTTTCTCATTTTGTATATGCCAGCACCTAGGGCAAGCCTGATGTATTTGTATACTTCAAGATTTAATTGATTATTCACTTTAACACAAAGAACAACAGAAAAAGCCAGGAGAGCATATACTTGCAAGTGTCCAAATTTCTACCCCCTAGCTCAGCACTAATAATGACATTACAGGTAGAAGAAAATGTTTGTATTCTAAAAAAAAGTTATATGGGTATTTGTGGAATTTTCAAATGAAATTATGTTTGCAGTCTAAAATTGATTGCTTAAATGAACCATTTTTCTATTTCACCGGGTAACTAAGCATTTAATATTTAAAATCAGAAAATTTGGAGTGATAAAAATATGTAACCAACAACATAAGTACAATTTGAAACAAAAAAGACAAGAGTAGTTGTTGGTGACTATTTTGAAGCAAAAAAGCTAAACAGGAAAGCAATGGGCCTTTTTTGCTCTCAGGAAGTCTGCTGATTTGGGAATTATTAGGTAACTAGTTCTCCTTTGACTAGCCCACGCTGATGAGTGTGATGTCGTCGCCGTGTTCTGGTGTACACGAGGACCAAGTGGGGAAAAAACAGAATAATCATATTCATTATTTATGGTGAATAATGAATTATTCTACTTGGTTACTACTCATAAGTCATTAAAATAGAATGAAAAGAGAGCTGGACAGTTAAAATGATTCAATTTCTGCACTTCTAAAAACTGGTATTTATGTTCACTTTAACCAAAAACTTTCCTACACTGTCATTTAATGTTGACTTTCCTGCAACTTCCTTTTTTCCAGTTTGATAATTTCACTCTCTCCTGACTTCTAAGGCTCACCAAAATAACCTCCCAGCACCATGCTCACACTCTGAGATGAGAAAAAGTGTTAGAAAAGTGCGGGTGGGATGAATGCTAAGAAGGTTCTAATGAGAATATCTGTTTTCAAGTGGCTGTTTGCCTGATACTGACATTTTTTTATTCTTATTCTGTGTTATCCTTCAGTCTTTGCTATACAAAGCCTTTCTTGCTTTCTTCCTCTCCCAGGCTCCTGGCACAAATGAGAGGAGCGATTAAATCCTTGAGCAGAAACAGTCATAAAATGTGGTGGAGAAAGGTCAGTCTTGAATTTCATTGAAATATTTTGTTCAGTCAGTAACAGCAAAGGTCAGTTGGGCTCTGAGTGGGGTTTTTGCATTCATTTTCTGCCAGCCTCAAGATGGTTCATGTTTGTAGAACTCTATCTTTGAAATGGTCTGATTTCTACTTGAAGTATTGTGTGTGTTCAACAACATAAAAGGTAAGGATTACTGAGTAATCAGTAAACACTAGTGCTGTTCAGTGCATCACGGTAACGTTCAGGGAAGAAGTAGGTATTTGTTATATCCTCTAACATTTTAATATGAATATTTTGTGAAATTATGTGCTACTAAGAAATTAGGCAAAAAGGACTCACAGTGAAGAAGTTTTTCTTTCAATCCATCTATCTACAAACCCAGGTACCTGTGCATCTGCCCACCCACCTACCCACTTTTCTTTCTCTCTCCATCCTATCAACTCTTCCATCCATCAACCCATGTACCTACCTATCCATTCACTCACCCTTCTTTCTTCCTCCCTCCCTCCCCATCCATCTATCTATCCATC